TGGCTGCATCTGCAGTTAAGCCAAACTTATCTCCCCAAATATTCCAAACACTCAATTCAATTCTTGGATGTTGCTGTCCCTAGTGAAATAATGATGGGAGTAGCAGAATGAATTCTGAAATCTGCAGCAACGTTTTCTGTTTATTTAGAGGAAAATGTTTCCATATTTATTGGATTGTACATTCCATAAAACATGTCAATGGCCATAAGTATCCCATAAACCAACCAAGGAGTTTATCAAGGGAAAAAATGGTACAAGTCAAACTCCAGATTCAAACCCAAATAAACATGCATTTTACATGCTAATGAAAATAAAAATTGAATCCCAACAACAAGAAAGAACTAAAAGTGGCTCAGCATGTCTTTATAGCTTGGCAAAGCATTTAAAATAATTATACAAAGAGTTTAGTGAGCTCAGTGGATCATAGACTGCAGTCCTTCTTTCAAATATGGATGCAGTCAAATGATGACATATACACTCTGAAATATATAATGTCAAGTTGGCCTATTTCTTCGGTCACTTTAAATCACTGGACTTGAAATCTTGTTCTAAACATATGATCAAAATCTAAACAAAATATATGTATAAAATCACCCAAAAATAAAATGTATATAATTTATTATATCAGGTGGGTAGCTGCGTCAGCATGCGCAGGCTGCAAAGGAACAATAGGTTTATTCCATGCTGAAAAAAAGAAGAGAGAAAAAACACAACGTTTCGGCAGTGGAGCCTTCTTCAGGCCTTCTTCAGATGTATTTATTATAATATAATAATATATTATATTATGTATATGATTATAGTATGGTGTGTTCTTATTGTCTGTTTTAATGTCCTAATCATTCATACAAATTACCTTACTTGTACATTACAAAAATATTTCATTCTACTTTGCTGTCCCAGTGCTTTTGGAGGCCACTATAAATTTGTAAGATAAGAAACCTGAGCATGTATAATCTTCTTTTAAATAAAATAAACTAAATTTATGGAGGTCAAGCAGTTTGTCTCTGAGCCAAACTAAATGTTAGCTTTCTTGTCATTAAGGACTAGAGCCAGTAAGTAATAAACCAAAAAAAGAATACATTGAAGCACCCACCCAAATCTCAGCTAAACTTAAAAAGGTCTCTTTTTTCCTCATACATCCATACCAGGCTTCAGTTATTATTTTTGGTGTGAGTTTTTGTTAGTATCAGTAACCAGCTGTCTAAATTATGATTATAGGAGTAGTTCATGTAATTATTGCAGTAGACTGATGGTGTTCTCAAAGGGCAAAGGTGAGCAGATTGACCCTGTGAGATCACACATACATGAAGTGCATTAATCTAATAGAGATTCATCAGTGGTTGATGACAGTTCATCTTCACCCAAATGAGACCACCCCTTCTGGGCAGGATGCTCTTTAACTGATTAGGAGAACTTGCCTGTGGTTATTGAGTATTGGACACATTAACTAAAGAGCTCTCTAAGGGTCAAGTACTGTACAAATATTTCTTTAAAAGCAACATTTTCAATAACTTTGATCAAGATCTGTATTGGAACTGTCCTGTTTTGCATTGTTTTTCTCCAAATGCCTATTTAAAATATTTTGTTAATTATTAGTGTTAACTGGAATTGTACTTTTGTAGATTCGTTTTATTTTGTTATAACTTAAAGTTATAATACAACAACAATAGTACTACTACTAATAATAACAAAACAATAACATCATAATTTTAAAGATTAAATTAAATTAAATTAAATTAAATTTATTTTTAGATAACGCTTTTCACAACAAGGTTGCCCCAAGGCAGTTAACAAAGCTGTGTGACAGTACATAATATTACAATACAGAAAGTGAAAAAGCCAGAAGACAATGGAGGAGAGGAACCAAAAACTCCTCTAGGGGTCCAAGGTCAACTGGCTTCCCAACCCTTCTGTTCATGCTAACATTATACAATTCTAATAAAGTACTAAATGTGGAGTATTAAGTCTTCCATCATGTCCTTCTGCGTGCCAGTACTCCATGCAGTTCTCTGTAGATCAGCAAATCCTCCTAAATGATAGGTGTATTTGCAGTGCCCTCTTGGATCCATAGCAGTGATGCAGATGATGCCCAGCTGAGGAGAAAGTTCTTCCCCTTAGTGCATAAAAACAAAAGAAAACGTACTAATGAGAGGAGGATATTTAGCTCATCTAACCCCTTTAGTTGCTAGAAGTTAATTGTTTTTAAAAATCTTATTCACTTGTTCCTTGAATAAAGATAGGATGATGTCATGGATGTCGGAAAGGACGAACCGTGGAATGACAGGAGAGTGAAAAGACCCTATGCGTAGCGGCGAGACTGGGGTTAGCCCGGGCTCAGCTGTTCAGGAAATGCCGTTTAGAAACCTATGCCCTCAGGTAGCGGACGTGGGGCGACCTGGTGCTAGGCGGGTTTCAGGACATCCGAACGTCAATGCTGAGCGAGTAGCAGAGCAGAAGCAGGAAGTAAATAGACTACACAACAAGACACCCCAGAAAGACAAGAATAATCACAGGGAACTAGAAACAGGAGGAAAGTAGAGCGCCCTCTAGGTGTACTTGGCGTGACAGATGACAGCCCAGACAGATATCAAAGATCAATATCAAAATGGACACAAACATGAAACACTTGACCTTTTTTGACATAGACAGTGAGAACACAAGAGATGGGTGACAACAATAACAAACAGATCTGCAATATCCCCAAACCCAACAGCTGCACTTCCCTTGCAGCAACTTTTTATTCAAAGCTGTTGCTCTGCATTCAGGTAGAGAAGACATGTGGCAACAGTCTCTGTCAATATCTTCATTTTTTTATTTCAGATTAATTTTAGCTGTATCAATAATCAATAATCATTATGCCAAATCTGAGAATTCAGTAGCTTAATGACAAAGAAAATCGTATTACAGATCCTCAGAATTCAGAATGTATGCTGGCGTTCTTTATGTTCACATTTGCAACTGAAGCAGACCTACAGATGCAGCTCAGAATGCTATTTCTTCCAAATCTGTAAAGCGGAGCTTGTTAGGTAACTCACTGGCCAAAGACAGGATGATCAATCAGCACTTGTGTGTAAGATGACAGTGAAATGACTGCTTACTTGCTTCTCTACTCTTTCATCCTAGCGTTAATCCCGCATCAACAGGGTCTGCTTGTTGGCACGCCGTCCTCCATTTGGTGGTTTGAACCAAATCTTTGAGCTGACGTTGCCATTAAATGCGACAGAAAATACTCCAACCGGTGCTCAGCCTGCTGTCGGAGGAGGGGGGGAGGAGAACAAAGTAATGTAACCAATTCATAGAGGGGGGTTATTAAGAGACATGGGAAATTTGGCCAGGACACCGGGGTTACACCCCTACTCTTTTCGAGAAACACCCTGGAATTTTTAATGACCACAGAGAGTCAGGACCTCAGTTTACATCTCGTCCGAAAGGCGGCACTTGTTTACAGTATAGTGTCCCTGTCACTATACTGGGGCATTAGGACCCACATGGACCACAGGGTGAGCACCCCCTGCTAGCCTCACTAACACCTCTTCCAGCAGCAACTGGTACTGGCCAGGCTCACACCTGCTTAGCTTCAGTGGGTTGCCAATTGTAAGTTGCAGGGTGACATGGCTGCTGGCATTATTTGCTTCTCTACTGTGCAAATTTAAATCCACATAATATGGAATATTAATATGGAATTTTACAACTAAAGGGAAATTTTGGTAGCTGCAAATAAAAACAGAAGTATAAAATAATACTTTTATACCTAATGTACAATACATATAGTAGATGTTAGTGGTAGCTAAATAAAAAAAAGTACATACTGTAACAGTTTTCCAGCTTCATAAACAATTTATGCAGGGAAGTCTTTATCTTGGTATCTCACGGTGGTTATTTTGGAAATGTTTTGACATGGTTGTTCTAACTATATTAAGTTCAAAGGAAAAGTTAAGTTAATTGGTTTATTCCATGCTAGTAGTATAAAGCGACATCTTTCGTCAAACTTTGTTGACAGGTGCCACGCCCCCTTTTTTCAGCCACTGGGAGTCCACGGTTGGCGGATGTCCCACCCCCTTGCCAGCCAATGGAGCGTTGTTATGGGTGCATGTCCCGCCCCCTCAGGAGCCAATGGTGTGTCGTTGAGGGTCGGAAGTCCTGCCTTCCTCCTGCCGGTCAGGCCTGAGTCTCAGGGTCCAAAAGCCCCAGCGCCACAGCCCTCAATTTCTAAATAAGTGTATGAAAGCGTGTGTTAGGGTTGGAAGGGGACCATGTCTTCCATGACCATGTTGAGCGCTCTCTATTATAACCCTAGGGAATTGGGGAGTTACGGCGGTGTGGGGAGTCTGGTGAGGGCCGCGAGATCCCGGGGTGTGAGTGGCACCAGCCGCAGCCGGGTGGCCGAGTGGTTGACCCTGACAGCAAGTCTCAAAAAACATCAAGGGCATGTAAGCACTCACCCACACATTGACCGTGTAAAATCTCACGGAAAGAACTCGCAGGACAAACAGCATGTGAAATGTGAACCACTTTATTTCATCAATAGGTTTTCAAACACAGAAACACTCAAAAACATCAAGGGCCTGTAAGCACTCACACATACACACACACAGTGACCACGTAAAGTCTCATGGAAAGAACTCGCAGGACAAATAGCATGTGAAATGTGTACCACTTTATTTCATAAATAGGTTTTCAAACACAGAAACATCGTAGTACACACTTTTCACAAACCTAACATGCTCCTGTTTGGAAGGTTGTGAAATGTGAACCACTTTATTTCAACAGTAGGTTTTCAAACACAGTAACATCGCAGTACATACACGTTACCGGCTCCTGTTTGCAATCAACAATTAAATGTTGGTGTGGAAAATTAGTTCGGTACACGTAACTACCACCCTAACATTGCTGAGAAACTTTGAGGCATCTGAAAAAGCATTCATAATCCCCTTCCGCTCCCCATGTCTAAAACCGTGAGAACCGCACTGGGCGATCCGATCTAACAGAGCAAAAAAATTTGCCTGCGGATGGTGTTACCACAGGTTCTGTGCAAAACACGTTGTATTTTGGAATACACACTGCAGAAGCCACCAGGCTTCTGTTTCTGATCTGAAAACATCAGATCTGCAATAATTTCACTCATGTTCTTGACACACAAATCTATCTCTTATCTAACAAATTTAAGGACATACACATCTAACAAATTTAAGGACATTAGCATTCGACTCTTTGTTTTTCATATCAAGCTTTGTAGAAAGAAGTGTGTAAAACACTCTTTGTAAGAATTCAGACGTATACATTCAAAATTCTTCGTTTTTCGGACAATGGCACACCTGGGTCTGTAAAACAGAGTGAAAGCTCTATTCACATGGCGTGTATTTCACATTTTACATAGATCTTTTTTTTGCGTCTGTAAAAATAAGAATCATGTTTGTTTTGCAGTGCATCAAAAGTCACGTCTACTAATTTTTCATCTTGCTGTTCATGTATGAAACCTACATGCACGTATGGCAAGCAGTCGTCAATTTTGTTTTTCAGCAAGTGTTTTATGCCCCACTCAGTGTCATTTGTAATGGTGTACAAACCCAGACACCTGGCGATGCACAGAACACCCGATAAAATACGGGCTAGACTGAGAGACTTATAAATTTCTAATGCGGCAAACGTCATATCTTCAAACCCATCTATGTAGCTGACAGCCAGGCATGTGTGACCCCGTTGACCGGGTTGGTCAATCAAACAGGCCGGGCATTCATCAACCAGAACCCCCTTTAAACAGTGTTTGAATATGCAATAAACTACTGCTGTAGTTTATCTGGGCCACAACATCGGGCTCATTAGGGACATCGTTAGCTAAACCTGGTTGAGCAACATCATTATTAACATTTGGACGAACACACAAGCATAGACATGAAACATTCAGGTGCGATGGTAGTTTGAAGATTGATGCGTCAACCTCTTCGTTATTCTATTAAAGGAAAAGAAAAGGAAGGCTTAACATAATAAATAGACATGCTTTGTACCTAAAATATCTATCATTTAACGCCTCTTTTGAGTTATGGTTTTTCGTTAATATTTACCATTTGTATTGACGTACTGTATCATCACCACTACCGGACAGTTCTTCATTACCAGGTTCCCCATCCGAACTCACACGACAGTCGCTGTCACATGTGGCAGAGGGCGGGGTCGGGTTTTGCTAAAAAGAAGACCAAGTATTAAAACGACATACGCTAAGCGCCGATTGAAACAACAATTCCATGATTAGAAAAAATAATTTAGCAGCCTACCTCTTCACTTTGTAGAGCAGAGGAACCCGATGTTTATCCACACAAAGAAGCCATCTTTGTAGCTACCAACACTGGGATGGTGTCTGACAGCTCCAGGGACACGCTGCGCCAGTGTCAAGCCGGAGCGTTTAAGAATATGAACCAATGGTATAACCACGCCTACATAACACAAGACGTTTTTCAATTGGTTGTGGTGTTTTAGAACAACCCTCCCCCCCCACACACACACACAAAGCCCCGTGTGTTTTATCGAGAGCGAAAAGTATTCACTTATCAGCTTATAAGTTTTCAACTTTAAAAGTATTAACACACAACACAAACACAAATGATGTGTTTGCCCAGAAAATATTTTTTTTTATACGTGTGGTTGGACACAACTTATTTTTAATAACACATTCGCAACAGCTTTTTCAAAAGTTTGAAATGAATTTCCACTCACTGTGCTCGTAAAAGTCTTTAAAGTATTAACGAGCAACAAATGATGTGTATGCGCAGAAAAGACATTTTTAAATACGCTTGGACTGGTCTTAAAGTTTTAAAAGAATGTAATAGAGATCTTTGGGAGTCGTGTGGGGGTCTGTGTCACGGTAGTTAAAGGCTCTGGAATGCAGAGACAATGTATGGTTTTATCTGGCAAACACGTGTGCACAGCGTCCAGAGTCATGGGGGGAGGGATGTTGCTGGTCAGCGGGGGTGGGGTGCTAAAATTGACCTCATAGCGAAAGTTCATAAAAGTTTTAAATTATAAGCGGGTACAAATAACTGCGACAATAAACGGACGGATATAGGAGTTATAGTTTTTCAATTGTTTTAAATCGTGTTTTGTATATACATTTTAGGTTTATATTAATGTAAAGTTTTCTAATTTATAATCACCACATGTATTTCACGTAAAAATGTAAATATTCTTAACATCGCATTGCGAAAAAATAAAACCTCAAAACGCCAAAGCTGGTTTGTGAAACCGGGGTAAAGTTAGCTCGAAGTTCGAAAACGATTTTGGCACGCCTGTAGCGCTTTCACGAAACCTCTTAGAGTTGCGAGAATGCTTGTTTT